CCCCAGACCCTCCCACAGCCTGTCCTTTCTCCTGAGAACCAGGCCTCTTCACTCTAGAATCAACCCTCTGCCCTCTTAGAATTCCCCCAATTCTCCCCTCAGCTCTCTGCAGATGACATTTCTGCCCTGTATTTCTTTCTTTTTTTTTTTTTAAATCCTCACCAGAGGATATTTTTCTACTTTATCTTCAGATAGAGGGGGAGGGAGGGAGGGAGAGAGAGAGAGGGAGAGAGCGAGAAAGAAACATCGATGTGAGACAGACACATCGACAGGCTGCCTCCCGCAGGACCCTGACCATGACCGGGGACAAACCGCAACCGAGGTACGTGCCCTTGGCCGGAATCGAACCTGAGACTCTTCGGTCTGCAGGCCGACACTCTAACCCCTGAACCAAACCGGCCTGGGCTATTTCTTTTTTTAAATGAAAATGCTTCGACAAGCTGTTCATTAGGGCACCCTTACCAAGTCTCTTCCTTCTCTTGACTCACAAACCACTCGGATTACTTCAGAGACTGAAACTTCGGTGTGTGAAGTTACTTTCATGTTATTTGATGAAATATTACCCCTGACCTTCTTGGAACATTTTAATTTCAGTACCCATTTAACCTATCATTTAAGGATTTTAAAAGTCAACTTTAAAAAATCTTCACTCTATAGGAAGGAATGAAAAGGGAATGCTGTTATAAGATGATGTTTGAAATTTTTCCTCGCAAAAGTTGAAGGAAATTGAAACTAAGTAATTTTGTTTGTTTGTTTTGCCCATAATCCTACCCCAAACCCAGACTGATTTAGTTTATCTAACTTCTCTTCCAGTTTATATACCTTCATCATTGTAAACTTTTGTTTTTCTATCCCTCAAGGCTTTTTATAAACACTTTCCCATTTTGCAGTATATTTGTTTTTATTGTTTGTGTAATATATTCCATCAAATTGATATTCCATAATTTACTACCCATTCCTTTAGTGCTAGACATTAAGGTTATTTCCATTTTCTCTATTATAAATAATAGGAGCAAGAACATCCTTGCATATATAGCTTTTTTTCCCTACATCTGAATTATATCCTTAGGATAAATTCCCAGGAGTGGGATTAGTGGGTCAAAGGGTACAAACAGCTTTATGGCTCTTAATATTTATTGCTAAATTGCCCAAAGGGTCATTCTAATTTACAATGCCACCTGCAACACATGAGAGTAGTTGTCCCTCCCGGCCCTTGCAACACTGATTTCTTCAGTCAATAGTTTGGAGCAAATTTAATAGGTATTAAAGGATACCTCAATACTGTTTTTAATTGTTAAATGCTTTAATTATTGTCAACACTGGACATTTTTCTTAACTGTACATCTGTATTCTATTTTGTATGGCTTGCTTTCATGTTGGAAGATTGTATTTTCTGACACCAGGTGGAATTTAAAATATTTTATAATGAAAATGTCAAGTGCACGTAAGACAGAGAGAATAATTGATGGTGTTCTCTAGACTCAGTACCCAGATTTAACAAATAGTCAGAGGTGGCTATATTTGCTTTATGAAGCTCTCCTTTTCCTCTTTTTCTGCCCTTCATGGAATCATTTTAAGTAAACCCCAGACAGTCTGCATATGTTTCTTATATACTTCACTGTGCATCTCTAACACGTGGACTCTCTCTTATCTCATCACACTGCCACTGCCACACTTAGCAAAATTGATGATAACTCCTGGGTATCGTTTACTAACAACCAGTGTAATAACCTTTTCTGAACTGTCATTTACCGATGCTTTGCTCCAGTCGGCACACGGAGAAGATCCGTTACACTTGGTAGTTATGTTTCTTAAGTCTTTTAACCGCAGTGTGCTGCCCTCTGTCTACCACCCCCACCAGCTTACCCCACCCAGTGACATTGCAGAACCTGGCCAGCCGTCCTGTAAACATGCCCACATTCCGGCTTGGACCTTTTCTTTCCCATTAGCTCTAGAAGCTTTATTAGACTCAGTTTCAACTTGTTGTGTGTGTGTTGCGGGGGGGGGGGGGGGGGGGGGGGAGGCAAGAATACTCCATGGTGGTGCTGTGTGATCCATTTTGTGTCATTTCGAGGCACATGGTGTGTGATTGTCCCACTTTGGATGATGCTAAGGCTGCTCATGGATTCAGTTGGTAACCCCCGAAACAGTTGTCAAGTCGCTCATTTGCTTTGCCCTCACTGTTTCATCTTTTTTAAATTTACTATTTCTTTACTGATGTTAGAGAGAGAGAGAGAGAGAGAAACATCGATGAGAGAGAACGTCAATGGGCCGTCTCCTGCATGCCCCCCACTGGGCATGATTTGGCCCACAACCTGGGCATGTGCCCTGACCGGGAATCAAACCTGTGACCTCTTGGTGCATGGGTCTGTGCTCAACCACTGAGCCACACCGGCCGAGCTGTTTCATCTGTAATGACGGTTGCTTGAGTCAGTTGTTTCATGGGGCTTACACGATGATGACTTTCTAAATTTATCATTCTTTCCGTATTTATTTACGGCACTTCTCCTGAAAAGTAAAGCTTTTTCCCTCATAAACTAGGACTTTTCAATCATCTTAAAATGTACAAGAAAGGCAAGATAAGTGCTTTATTCTTTACTCTAAATTGCCAAGTTTGTAAATAAGCGATTCATGCCCTGTTACTACCAGTGATGTCTAAGGAATTGTTACTGTTTTGTTTTTGAAGAATCATAAAACACTGAGGGTTTTAAATAAATAAACAAATATATATATGTGTGTGTGTACATATATGTATATGTATATATATATATTCCATTCAGTTACATTCATTCTTCTTTTTGGTACTCAAATGATCCCTTCCTTGGCCCAAGGCAAACCCTTTCTGTCCTTGTTTTTGAGCGTAACAAGGTGTCTGGGTTCATTTAGTATACTCTATTTTTTGCCCCTTAAAATGGGCCATTCCTTCAAGATGTCCTGTGTCCTTTTGTTGAGGAATGGTATTTAGATACCACAATCTGGATATATTATGTGCTTATTGTTATTGTTTCTAAGTTTTCTCAGTGGACAGAATTAGGAAATGCATATTTAACAAAAGAAAATAAAAGATTATGAGCTTGTACTGATATTTTTATTTCAAATTTAATAACTATTTTTACTCCTTTGATTTCATACTTGTACTTCTGTCTCTTACACTAAAAAGCTTGGTTTCAAACATAATAATACAATATATTCAGTAGTTTCAAAATACTAATACTGGTATTACTACTAGCAATTTTCCTAGTGAATGAGAGATTTTTTTTTTTGCAGTTTCGTTTATCTTTAGAATACATTGCACTAAAAAATATAGTCAAATTACCTTGTTCCAACAACGCTTGAATAAATTCTTTTCACCAATTTGATATACAGTTAAGTTCCTTTACATCAGTTTGCTTTCAAATTTTAGGATTCACTATTGTTTTTCATTTTTGCTTTAGTTTTATTTTTTGAATCTGTAAAATATGCTTTCAAAATTAAACCCGTGTAATACAGCCTTACCAAAAAAGTCTTTCTTCTGTCCCATCTCCTCTCATTTTCTCCCCCTTCCTATTGGTAACTATTTCTTGATAATTAAGATTTGTTTTTATCTTTGCAGTGTTTCCTGTTGCAGATATGCATGCATTCATCTGTCCTCACCTGTTTTACCCCGAAGCTGGCATACTATAGATTCCTTACAACACACCATATCAGTGGTTTAGGGATCTTTGTTTTTTTTTTTTGATTTTTTTTTTTTTTTTTTTTTTTTTTTATCCTCACCCGAGGACATTTTTCCATTTTTTGTTTAGATAGAGCAGGAGGGAGAGAGAGAGAGAGAAACATCGACGTGAAGGGACACATCGAGTGGCTGCTACCCGCACGACCAACCAGGGCCGGGGACAAACTGCAACCGAGGTACGCGCCCTTAGCGGGAACCAAACCCGGGTCTCTCTGGACCGCAGGCCGACGCTTTAACCGCTGAGCCAAACCGGCCAGGGCTGTTTTTTTTTTTTGAAGGTTAGCTAGACATCCATTGCTGAGATGTACCATGGTTTATTTAACCAGCCGCTTATTGACAGAGTTTTATTTTCTAAAAAACAAAATCATGTGTTCAGGTCATTTCATGTTCTGGCCAATGTGTCTTTAGGATCTATCCTTAGGAATGGCTGAGTCGGTACAGGCAATTGTATTTTTGTCCTTTTTATAGGAATTGTGTCATTTTGCCTTGAAAGAGATTAAAAAACAAAGATTTGCAAATGCTCAAATTTAAGCATTTGACATGATTGTTGGAAAATTAGTGCATTCTTCAAAATCAGAAGTGACTTAACGAACCTATACACTGTTGGCACTAGTGTCTGACATGGCCTGGTACGGAGCCCTCGTTCCTGCTCTCAGGGCATCTGTGGTTTGTCCACGGAGACATGAGATGTGAGGGAAGAGCAAACAGGGGCCCCAGGTAGGACATGTGTATTGAAATCGAAGGTGAAAACCCAGCTCGGCTGTCTCTCCAGGGAGCCTTCCCTGCTTACCCCAGGCCACACCAGTCTCCAGTCCTCGGAATTTCACTAGCACTATTAGTGACAATGACCCTTCCCCAGACCAAACATGTTGGCACCTAGTTGAACAAATATGAATGTACTGACAGGAATCACAGGGGTGAATGTGTGATGTGCTGGCTGCCTCATAAATTTAAACTGAAAAATTATTTTATGTAGCATTGTATCTGCATTTCTCAAAGCGTGTTCTCTGGGACACCTGCGGGATGGCGACAAGGGTTACAGGGCGACATCAGTGTGGATAGGTCGGTTAAACACGCCTGAGGACTTGTGACTCCTAAACCAGGTCTGATGGCCCAGGCTGACCTGGGCACAGCATCCCCGTCCACGAGCACCTCATGTTGATACTTTTCCGTGAAACACAAAGAACCAATGTGTAGGTTTTGTTTAAAAGAAAGGTGTCACTTCCCGTTGAATAACCCGCACAATTCTGTATTTTTGGCTAACAATTTTTAATTTGTTTCTTTCCAGATTGAATCATTAAAGAAGAAAGTGCAACAGAAACAACTCTTAATACTGCAGCTTTTAGAAAAGATATCTTTCTTAGAAGGAGAGGTAAGATGCTGGTGTCGTCCCGACGATTACATTTTACGTGGCTGAGCCTCTCGTCGCCACTTAATTAAAAATATGGCCATTTCCTGGCCTTATAAAATTGATTGAAGGTTAACTGCCAACACTGAAAATGAGGTTCTGACAGCTAGTTTTTCTTTGCCACCTGGCTCTCCTCATTCTAGCCTGCTGCTCACTTCTAATTCGGGCTCTCATTTTTCTTGTTCGAGAATTTTCTTAGCACGTCTGATAAGCTTTTGATTGATGCTGATACTTGCCCGCATTTGTGTAGTGCTTCATAATGTGTGGAGTCTTTTCACATGCATTCTTCACATGATGCTCTCAGCGACTTTAAGAAAGGCCAGACAAGGAGGATTCTCTTTGCATTAAGCAGTTTTTGAAAAGGAGGCACAGAGAGCCGGTGGCTGTGCTCAGGACCACCCAGCACAGTGAGCGCGGCCGGGCCCAGAGACGACTCCTCAGTCATCGCTGAAACTGAGTCAACATCGTTTTTTTTGTTTGTTTTTTATCCACACCCGAGGACATTTTTCCATTTTTTGTTCAGATAGAGTGGGAGGGGGAGAGAGAGAGAGAGAAACATCGACGTGAAAAGGACACATCAAGTGGCTGCCACCCGCACGACCCAACCAGAGCCAGGGACAAACTGCAACCAAGGTACATGCCCCCAGCGGGAACCGAACCGGGATCTCTCTGGACCGCAGGCCAACACTCCAACCACTGAGCCAAACTGGCCAGACCTAGTCAACATGTTTTAGCGGTGACTTTATTTCACCAGAAAATTGAAAGCGCTTTAGTTTTCCTGACTTTTTGAAAGTCATTTTGGGGGTTTTGTGTAGGTTCCACAGAAGGAAATTATGGAATTGGGAGAACCTTAAGGGCTTAGGTATTAACAGAAGGAGAAGCCAAATCTGTTTGCTCTGGAGAGTGTTTATTAAGGGCTTGGCATTGAGCCTCTCCCTCTGAGCCTCCACGAATCTTCCGCGGAGAGGAGGTTGAAGAAAGGGGCCGGGAAGAAGCAACCTTTTTTAAGCTCCTAGTACTTGTTGGGCACAGATATTCTTTTCTGTATTCTTTGTATAACATCGAAGTTAAGAGTGAAATCAGATATCTGCTTCTTAAGCTGGGTGATGCTGGGGAAGTTCCTTACAAAAGGAGGATTTAACTGCACCTGCGTGTGTGACCATGTGGTGAGACTGCACAGGGAGCCTGGCATCATGTGCGACTTCGCAGTGTTCTCTCTCTATTGAGAGGATGCCCAATGGGTTAGATTACATCCCCCATCTTATAGCTGGGGATTGAGGGTCAGGCACTAAGGAACGTGCCCGGTGTGGTGGCAGCGATGGGTAAGCCTGGATTCAAAGCCCGAGCTCTTGAGCACCACGTTTGTCGGAGTGGTGAGCTGGGTCTTCGTTTACTCTGTTTTTGAGGGACTGCCTACAAAAGTCACAACCAGAAGTCCCTTGTTGCCCATGGGGTCCTGGTAGCAGGTTCAAAGCCCAAGAATCTCAGTTCCCTGATGGCTGCATAAACAGATACGCGCCCGGTGCCATTCCAGCTTCTTCCCCTCAGTTGCTGGGCCAGCTCCAGCCCTGAGAACGGATGTTTCTGTTGTGAAGAGTGTCCTCTGAAGGCGCAGCTCCCCGTGCTGGAATCACAGCATGCCCATGGGAGTCAGAGAGTGGCTTCGCAGGGCAAACTCCTGGGTCTAGGGAGAGGGTGTCTATAGGAGAGTGGAGGGAGATGCTGGCAGGAGAGACAGAGGTGACCCGAGACAGTGCCCCCCGCTCCTCTCCCTGGTGGGCTACGCAACCAGCTCTCCTGCTGGTAGATTATGAATTGTCCTGGGGATACAGTGCATGGACAAAGGCTGTACACATATTTGTGTTTTGCTTGATGCTTGATTTTCTTTTTTTAAAAAAATATGTTTTTATTGATTTTTTAGAGAGACAAGAAGGGAAAGAGAGAGAGAAACATCAATGTGAGAGAGAAACATCGATTGGCTGCCTCCTGCACGCCCCCTACTGGAGATGGAGCCTGCTACTCAGGCATGTGTCCTGCCCGGGAACTGAACCGCGACCTGTCAGTTCATGGGAGGACGCTCAATCCAGTGAGCCACACCGACAGGGCGAATGCTTGATTTCTTAAACTCCTCTCCTTTCCTAGTTTGGGTTGCCCAGACCCTGAGATGTGGATATCAGTGCACACAGTTTATTTGGGAGGTGCCCCCCGGAAGCCCTGGTGAGGGAGTGGGGCAGTGGACAGGGAGGGGCCAGAAGCCAGTACCGTACAGGGCGCCTTACTGAGGAGGTACCACTGCGGGGTCTCCTGGAGGGCTGTGCAACTGGCTCTGAGCTGGAGCGTTGACCTGCTAACTCCCGTGGGCCATTGGTTGAGGCCTGTGTGTGTGGGGGAGGGGGGGCAGTTCTGCCCTGGGCAGAGCGGATGGACTCCAGTGGTCAGAGGAAGCCCGCAGGCAAAGAGGCACAATGGTGTGGCAGGAAACGGTGTGTCCAGAGGGTTGGGTGGGGCCAGCAGTGCCTGCTGTGTACACCTAATAAGTAAGTCTTTGAACACCAATTTTTCTTGAGCATTTAAAGGTAGGTTATACATTTGATAGATTAAATTCTGTTAACCTACTTAAATTCCACTACAAAGTTAGTATGGCTAATTCCTTTTAACCACTTCAAATAGCCACCTTAAACAGTAGATAAAATGTGTACGAATAAGTTAATGACAAAATTGAATGATATAATTACACTTTAACCTACTCTAAAATATTAAATATCACAAGTCTAATGTATTTCTTCATTTTTTCTGTTCTTATTTTTTCTATCTTCCAAAAGCTATTGTTTTACTTATTTCAGTGTTTTCTTAGACTTCACATCATTTTGGCACTTCCCAGACAGGAGCAGTGAACTTTCAGATCCAAAGGAGATAGAATTCCCTTTCTGAATAGCTAAGGTGAGAGGATGTGGTAGGGACCCTGCTGAATCTTGGGTCACAGGACTGTATCTTCAGGGTCCCTTGTCATTGTGATGCATTATTAGAAACAGATACATTCCTTATTAATATTTCACCATACTTAGTTGGACCATGTAGAGATTTCATCTCCTAGGACGTGAGAGATGGAGTTGGAGTACTTGGTTTTCTTCTGTAGGCCGTGTGACTGGTTATCGCGTTACAGACACACGGCTGGCTACTGTTTCCTTGCTCATGGCGTGTGACCACTAATGCCGGTGAATTGCTTTCTACCGATTGTATGGCTGCCGAGGCCGACCAGTCTTTCCATGGGCCCTAAAGTCCTGGGACAACTTGATTTACAATTAATTCCTATTTAACACAGAAATTTTATAAACACTCGTTATAATGAATACTCTGTAAAAGAAACTACATTGCCTTAACCCAGTTTTTAAAATTCAATTCAAATTCTCACATCTTATACTCACCCTTCTTTTCTATTAAAACTATATTTTTGTACACTTTATATTAACTTTCCTTTTGAGTGACGTGTGAGCACAAGGCATTTCTCAGACTTTCCTTATTTTCATAGTAATGATTTCCTTGTCCTCCTCCTGCTTTGTTGCTCCAGTGGTCACCTTTCAGCCGGGGAGAGTTCTGCGCTTTAACCGCTTTGCCCAGGCAGCAGGCTTCCTGATGCTCTTGGAGTCATTCTTGATGCTCGGCAGCAACAAAGTGTTCCAGACCCATCTTTGCTTCTGTACTGTTCCAAGACAGAATGTTCAGAGAGATCTGAAACAGCACCATTGGCATCATTATGGTTTAAGTCAGAGCAGGTTCATTTTACTGGAGAACTACATTGAAGACTGGACCTGAGAATTGGTAGTGGGCTATGCCAATATTTGTAGTGACCGAATTGGGGAAAATATGTGTCTTTCTAAGATCACGAGGTCCCATCAATGTTCTCCAAATTTATCTAATTATATTGCTTTACAATACAAGGTTCTGTTGGCCTCTAAGAATTTCTATTATGTGACCTATTCTAATGCCAGTAATTTTTATACCGTGACTTTCCATCCCCTGACTTAAACCATAATGATGCCAATGGTGCTGTTTCAGATCTCTTTGAAAAGTGTTGGTGAACAGATCTGGCAACCTCTTATATTCCATCGTATTAATAAAGTAGCTACTTCCTTTTAAGGGCCTAGTTGCCGAGTCTGGAGCCACGCCGCCCGAGTTCAAATCTCAGCTCTGCTTACTAAGTGTGTGATCTTGAGCAAATCACTTAACCTTAGTTTGCTCATCTGTGAATGGAATCCTCTCCACAGAGTTGTTACAAAGATTAAATTAGTTAATACTAAGTGATTAGAAAAGTATATGTGTTTACCTTTTCTTCAGTTGTCTATGTGTCATTGCTATGTATTTCCTCCTCCTTCTCGTCTTCTTTTAAATAGAGAAAGATGGATAATTTTGGTCCCTGAATTCATCATTTGTTCTTATTGATGCTTAAACTCATTTGATTTTGCAATCCCCACCCCCACCAGATCCCCAAAAGTTTGTTTAGCCCATCAGACTGTGTTTTCATCAACTGATTCAAACCATCCTGATAGAAAAATATGCCTATTCTTTTTTCTTTTTCTCCTCACAAATTTTTATTCACTTACCTCCTGAAGAACTATCTTATCTCCTCTTTTTGATATCGAAGATGTTCTTAAAATAGAATCCCAGCATGTATCTTCAGAAGGTTGATACGCTTTCTGAAATTCTGCACAAATCCCATTTTATCCTTTTCTGCTGAAAATCTTACACATACAGCTAAATTTAAAAGTCAGAGGGAAGGATTCAAGTGTCTTGGTTTGGTCCATCCTGCATTTAATGTGTATTGTGTGGTCCATAAACCTCTCGACATGTCTGTTATGCATTTCTGGGACTCTTACTAATTTCCCTGTGTGATAGTGGGCAGCAGCCCCTGGCACCAGGGCTGCACGTACGCACTTTATTGAGCACACGTTCTTGTGTAAGTGCGT